GACAAACACGACGATTGTATCGATGTGTGTGTGTGTGTGTGTGCTACAGCCACTCACCCCAAATAAGGCACGTAGTTAGGCAACCAAACAAAAACAAGAAGTGAGAGGGATAAAAGAGGGGGTGACAAGATGCAGAGATGAAGCACCAAAGGAAACAACCCAAACGACATTTCAGGGTCCTCCAGCACGTCAGGCAACCAACATGTTGTACGAGACACGGTGCACTCCCCTTTAGAGGAGTTAGCAACAGGGCGCCAGCGTGAACAGCCGGTCATTTCCATCCCACAGCACAGTCACCTCTTCAACACCATTATTTCCTGAAGCACAATTCGACGACCCCAATGCGTCCTGCATGGACCTCTGCGGACTGTCCAGCGAATGCAAAGGGCTCTTCTTGACCTTGCGAGAGTCACTCTTCAAATCGCTTGTCTCCCGGCACATAAGGGAGTGCCAGTGACCGGCAGCGTCCTGCAGCCAACAGATTGGCTCACCACCACCACACGGCACCGCCCGTGGCACAAGTCGCACAAAAGGCGGCGCCACCTCTGCCGTCGTTCTTGCAGTTGCTAGGAGCAGCTGACACTCCCACCGGCGACCGGATGCGCCACTGTGATAAACGACTGCCGCCAACGTGGGTCCATGCAAAAAAGAAATCACAATCACAGCGCTCATTCTACTTGTCTCTCCGCTCAAAGGGTGGGGGACGCACTGCAACAAACTGAGCTCTACAAACTGCGTTGTCATCTTCTTTTCGTCATTGAGAAATTTTTTCAGGTCCAACCCCGCATGGTGCATGTTGCCTGATGGTGTCTCAAACCCCGCCTTCATCTGGACAGCCTGTGTGGACGCGCGGCAGCTGAGCACGCACGGCACTGTATACACTGTCGCCTCCGCACAGTACATCATGTCACGAGAAAAGACGAATACCTCCTCCGTTGCTTTCGTCTTTGCCGCTGCTGCTGCTGTTTCGGACATCTTCGCATGAGGGGCAAAGGAGCCAGGGGGAAGAAAATCAAACAACGGGTGACCGTCACTGTTCACGTGCAGAATATCCACGACTCGCACTATTGCCGAGGACACAGCAGTACCCTCGTGTTTGCCTACACTGCATGTCACGTGCAGAAACAGAAAGAAGCACTCACGATGGCCGGTGCTTCTTGCAGGAAGTGACGCCGTGCTGGTTGATAGAATAAAAAAATAATTCTGTTTAAGAGATTTAAACAGCCGAATCATGCAAGGAAGCAGTAAAGGCCTCTCATCCGCCATGCTTTTTCGCTGTCTTCATCTCCAACGGGTTGGTGCTAAGGCCGACATTCGTCATAGGCAAACGAGGATGCGCATCACTCACACATACCACGTGGCCCTCCGCTGTCATGAGAATCACAGTGCTTCGACACACCAAAAGCAACTGCAGCTCACGTAGCGAACTCGCACCGTCCAACTCAGCAAGACCCGGCGTCGTGCCACTATCAGTGGTCCAGAAGGATGCCATGCAGATGTCAGCTGATCCAGAGGAAAAAAGGAGGACCAAGGCATCCACCACTGTCGTGTTCTCTAAATGCCGCCACTGTATCTTTGAAAGTCGCCTGCAAAAAACAGTGGGGTCGTTGCCCTTCCAGCGTGCATCATGTGGCATACTGCGACACACGAGGCAAATATCTCCAGAGCGAAAGATGACAACTTCCCACGCCCATACATCCGCTGCATCATCCTGCAGAATGGCGCAACGGCAAAGTACATGCAGCGGAGCATGCTGGACGCTCCCAAGGTTGTACCCTACCTCAACTGTACTGGGCGGTCGCACCAGCGAAGGCAGGCCTACACGTAAAGGAAACCCACGAGAACTAATTCCTGCTTCCACCATGGAACCCTTACAGGCACCAAACCACGTGAACTGAAGCTTGTCACTTCCCTGCAGCACCAACTCTGCCATTAGTAAACTGCAACCCACCTGGTGGGTCTTGTCATCCTGGTGGGTCGCAAGGAGAAATGCCGTGCCCCCTGCGTCGTCCCAGTGAAGGCCAATAAACCGGTGAAGATGCCGCAGGGCGCGTGGCACGTCAGAATCCCATGCAGAAACCCTTCGGCAGTTCAAAATGGTCATCTTTAGTGGAGCCTTCCCATTCGCCTGCCTTCGGACGCCTCGCCCACTACCAGCACTAGCGGAGGCGTCAGCAGCTGCTGCAGAGGTGGTCCCGACCTCCAAAAGCAACACGTCACCCGCACTCCGCATTGCCAACACAACGGCAACAACACGTTCCCTGCCTCCCGCAGCACTACTCAAGCGCCGAGACTCTGGGGCTGTCATCGAACACGCGACAGCGCTTTCAATAAAGCCACCAACGTGGCACCGTGCTACCTCACCGTCTTCTGTGAAAAGCGAGAAGTACATTTCGTCTGACTTCGTATAATTGCATGTTTCCGCGGCAGCCAAAGGTTCCCAAGCGGCATACGCGCTCTCTTCACGCAGTAACGCGCTCATAGGATACATAACATGAGCCGGTCGAAGAAATATACCCAAAACTTCATTACCGCCCCCCATTTCGCCTTCGTCCAGAGAAGCAGCATGCAGAAGAAAAGAAGGGTGTGCAAGCGTGACAGCCTCCAGACACCACGGGCCTTCCATAAGAGTTCCCTGCAATGTCTCACGGTAAGTTATCCAGCTGACACCATCATCGTCTGTTGGTGTCACGGGCTGCCGCCGTGCGGAAAGCATGCAAACAGAGAGACGATCAAGAAACGGATCCCCAAACACGGGGGCGCTCTGGTGCAGAACAGCAAGTAACGGGTACTGCTGCTCGTAGTCACGCGAGCACGACATCCAAGTTATGGCCCGCACCTCCCCGGGCACGCCACCCATCTTCCCCAAATACAGCGACCCCACTGTGAGCTTCCGAAACCCGTGTAGTGTCCTCCAGGGTGACGGGGCGCTTCCTTCCACATCCTCCTGCCACGCGATATCCACATACTCCATCCATCCCATCGTGCGCGCAAATACAAGACGCAGGATAAAACACGAGGAAGTGTTTCGCGTAACAAGACGAGCTGGAACATTTTTCCAGTTGCGTTGACCCTGCCGCAACAAGGGTGAAGAGGAAGACGGGAAAGACGATACGGTGGTGGTAATAGAAGAAGCGTCATAATTATATGCCTCCAAAATAGCACTCACCGGGACGCTAATTTGACGGGGAAGCGTGTGAGGAGTTGCATTCGCTTTCACGTCCCCACAAAACCACCGCACTGCAAACAGCTGGGCCTTTCCTGTGCTCTGGTTACTGTCATTCGTTTCAGGAGAAGTATCGATGAAAAAGGAGGCAAACGCCATGCAATGACACTCCATGACAAAGAAGAGAACGACATGCAACCCTTGAACAAACAGCGTTGACACAGATGCGATGCCCTCACCTTTCCCAGAGCATCGAGGGCACTCTCCATGTTGTCGTGTCGCATCAGCATCGCTAAACGTCACCACACGGGCGACTCGCTGCAACTCTCTCAGAAGGAGAAAATCGCCCTCCGCTGCCGCGCCTTGGTCTGTCCCTTGCTCTGGAAATGAAATGCTGCTGCGTTGTCGCGATGTGCCCTTGTTGGCTGTTACGTGGTTTGCACTGTTTACCACAAACCATACACATTGACTGCCAAGGCAGAAAACATCCACCACGTTACACACTCCGTCCTCTCGCTGTGTGTATGCCGCTGCCCCTGATGACGATGATGGCATGAATACAGTCACCATGGTTGCTGGTAACAAGCGCGACATGTTCGCTCTTTCTATAACACATACACTGAGAGACTCTGCAAGGCTAACACACGAACACGAAAAGTAGCAAAGAAAAAAAAAAATAAGCACCCCCATCACCACCGAAGCATCAGCACACATACAGAAACTACCACCCCCTCAAAAGGATGACGCGCCAATAGTGAAGAAAAAAGAGCAACGCGCATGCATCCCACTGTAGAGCCAACGAGAAACAAACAAACGTTCAAATTATATATATATATATATATATATATATATATATATA